GGGTCCCTGAGGGGATGGGGGAGCCATTTCTGGGGATCTGTGAGGAGATGGGGGTCCCTGGTCACTGAGTAGATGGGGGAGCCATGTCTGGGGGTCCCTGAGGGGGTGGAAAGGCCTGGAGAGGATGGGGTGGGCTGTGCCTTGGGTCCCCAGGAGGATGCAGGGGTCCCTGAGGGGATGGAAGGGCCAAGTCTGGGGATCCCTGAGGGACTGGGGGTCCCTGAGAAGTGCTGGAGATCCCTGAGGGGTCATGCCCAGGGTGCTGAGGAGATGCTGGGTCTTGCTACTTCCTAAGTCTCGATTCTTCATTCTTTTTCAGCATTAAAATCCATTAAAACCCTCTATTATTCTTGTAGTTGCTTCTAAATTTAAAGGATAATGAAAGAGGGCTCCTCACAGCATGGTTATTCAGTCTCTTGCTTTCTTAGTGACTGGGTTTGCCAGTGAGGCTGGGGAATATCTTAGGTAGTTCCTTTCACCCTGATCAAGTACTTTTTTTCCCCTCAGGTACGTGGTACTGACCACGAAGCATCATGAAGGCTTCACCAACTGGGGGTCGCCCGTGTCCTGGAACTGGAATTCTCTGGATACGGGGCCCCACCGAGATCTTGTGGGAGAGCTGGGACAAGCCCTCAGGGAGAGGTATGGCACTACCAAACTGTGCTGTTCCTCTCCTCTGTGTGCATTGAATTCTCCTGGCTGTTCTTGACGAACGGCAGAAAACAATGAGATTAATATGAAAACAGCAGTGCTTGCAAAGTCATGAAATCTTCTGTGACGTAGTAATGCCAGTAATCTAATCTGCCACTGGTTCTTAATCCCTACTGCCAGCCTAACTCTTTCCTCTGTGTTTTCTGTCCTTCAGCAACATACGCTACGGACTGTATCACTCTCTGTTAGAGTGGTTTAATCCACTCTATCTAGCTGACAAAGAAAGTGGCTTCAAGACCCAGAACTTCGTTTTGAAGAAGACAATGCCAGAACTTTATGATCTTGTCTTAAAGTAAGAACTGCAACCAGCTAGGAATCAAGAGCATTTCCTGGTTTCAATACTGTAGAGAAAGATGCAAAGTGGATGCAGAGAAGAGAGGTGACAAGTGTTAATTTTTGCCAAGGCAAATCCGTTTACTCCTCGGTAGTCATTTGCGGTAGTTAGAAAAGGGGTTCACATTTGCCCTGTGGACAGTCTAGCTCGTAGAATAAGGTAGAGGCAAATTTTTCATGCCGAGTGGCTTTGAAAGTGGAGCAAGCTGCTTAGTATGTAGTAGAGTAGGAGAGCAATTTCACTGTGAATTTACTTCCTTGCCTTGCTTCCCCTTGTTGACAAAAATACAAGGCTTGGACACATGTTGCTCAGAATGGCTGTTGTCCCAGGTAAAGAATGTGCCTCATAATTGCCTTTGAGATGAAATCTTCTGGTTTTTGGAAGAATTGCATCCTCTCTTGAGCCGTGATCAACACATCATGCTTTGCTGCTGCAAGAACCTCACTTAAAGCTTTGTCTGAAGCAGAAAGTGATAGCGTAAACCTCCTGGTGATGTCAGGCAATAGGAAGAGGAAGTGAAGCTAGACTCCAGACACAAGAAACACAGTGCTTCCTTTGTGGTAGGAGAAAATAAGCCATTTTGAAATAACATTCATCTCTCTGTTAGATATAAACCAGATTTGATTTGGTCGGATGGAGACTGGGAAGCTCCGGAGTCATACTGGAATTCTACCTCTTTCCTTGCCTGGCTTTATAACGATAGTCCCGTCAAGGTATCGCTTTCAGCTATCCCTCATGGCCTCTAGCATCTTATGGGTATGGAGGGTCTGGCAGCAGTGAGATATGAATGTGATCAAATCAGAATCCCGCTTGACAGATGCCAGATGTGCTTTATTCTTCCACAAAAAATAAGAAGCCTACACTGTGCTCCTATGAGAAGACTCTAGTGCCCTTCACAGCACACGCGTGGGAGGCTCAGAGGCCAGGAACCTTGTTGCCTCAACTTCTACCTGAGTGAATAGAGAGAGGTTCTCCCAGAGAGGGATTCAGCCTTCTCTGGGGGATCCTCTCTCTCTTTCCTTTGATTACACAGGGGGTTTCAGGTACTTACCTCCTAACTTAGACGCTTTTGCCAACTTAGGAGGGATGAATGCAAGCTGAAAAATCCAAGACAGAACATTCTCCCTACTGAGCTGAGATTCTTCTTTCAGGACACTGTTGTTGTTAATGATCGTTGGTGTAATAACTGCTCTTGCCGCCACGGAGGCTACTACAATTGTGCTGACAAATACAAGCCAGGGACCCTGCCAGCTCACAAGTGGGAGATGTGCTCCTCCATTGACAAGCTTTCCTGGGGCTATCGAAGCAACATGAACATTGCTGAGTTAATGGATGAAGCAAGTATCATTGAGGTAAGAAAGCTGAAATCAAAATAAAACAGGTGTGGGGGAGTTACTGAGAATTAGAGGTTTTCTTCATCCTCCTACTTGCAGAAAGAGTTGCCATGTGTTTCATGCAATCAGGCTGGAGTTAAAGGAGCAGTTGATGAGGACAAAGCCCGCCTCGGGTTTCTTTGTTGTCAGAAGTGAAGATAATGCAGTTTGTTACCTTGGTTTATCTGTCACAGGAGCTAGTGCAGACGGTGAGTTTTGGAGGCAACTACCTTCTCAATGTGGGACCTACAAAAGAAGGGGTGATTGTTCCCATCTTCCAAGAAAGACTTCTGGCCCTTGGGAGGTGGCTGGACACTAACGGGGAGGCAATTTATGAGTCGAAGCCATGGAGAGTACAGATGGAGAACAGCACAGACATGGTCTGGTAAGGACTCCGTTGCTCAGTACCATCTGGGCTGGGACTTCCAGAGCTGACGTTTCTTTCTTCTTTGTTCTTAAATTTGGTACACTCTGACGTGTTGCCATCAGGTGCAGATGGCGTTTAGGTAATATCCTACAATTGGAGTGCTCAGTTACTGCCCCAGGGTGTTATCTGAGGAATATCTTGCTTGAAAGAAGAGAATAGAAATCAGGACTTCATCTGTCTTGCTTGATTTGGAAAAAAACAACTCTTCCTTTAAAAAAATTTCCACGCTGCTGCTGTCGGGACTGATTAAGCAGTGGTCCTGGCTAGTTTGAACTGCACAAATGCAGTTCATCTAAATGCATACAGTTTGTAAATGTAGCGATATTTGCTTTTAAGCTGTTATATAATAGTACTAATCACTGTTACCCAACTGATAGATTTATACTGACTGAGAAGGGTGTAGTGAGTCAAGAGCCAGAAATTGCTACAAAACGGAGTGATTTTTTTTCTCAAGTGTGCCCAAGTGTGTTCAGTCTAGAAAGGCAGAGCAGTGATCAGGGTAAGGCAGCGTATCTGCTCTGTTGACCACAAGCTGAGGCAAGGACAGATCGGCAAATGACGTTTGCTTTTAGGAAGCGTGCACGGACTTTGTTTGGGTTTCATCAGCCGGTACTGACTGGCTAAATGCTGGGTCCAAAGTGACAGATTTTGGAATGAGGGGAAAGTAGGTGAGCCCTGTGCGGTGAGAGTAGGCAAGCCGGTGTTCTCATGCTGCCTGGAAAGGTCAAGCTCGTGTCTGGTTCTCTCTCTTACGGGGCTCTTCACCTTGCTGAACTCTTGCTCTCTTAGGTACACTTCTAAGGGACCAGTTGTCTATGCCATCTTTCTGATCTGGCCTCTCGACAACGTTTTGGAGCTGTCCTCGCCCGCTCCCTCCCCAGCCACACAAGTAAGGAACTTGAAAAAAAAGATAACGCACTCTGAGAGCCCATCTCGGGCACATGTGGGCTGGGAAGGTCCAGCCGGACTTCATTTGGAAACTGGGGAGAGTGTGGAAGTTGCCATCCCGTACTTCTTGTTGTGGGGTGCTCTGGCCTCCCTCCAGCATCCCAGGTTATTCTCCAGGCTTTAGCTCACTGTTAGCACAGAACATTGGATAGGGCTTGCCAGGACAGACTCATAGTCTGCCACAGAGGAGGCAGAGACACTTCTCCAGCGTCTTTTGATCCTATTGACACAGGGAGGTGAAGTGAATAACAAGCCTCACATGCAGAAGGGATCACTGGTATTGCATCTCAAATTCAAATCAGGTACACTGACCTGCTAATTGTAAATGTAATTGTAAGTGACGCAAATGCTAGCGTGCCCTTTGCTCTAAACAAACAGAGGTGAAACCTTCTCAGTAAAACAACAAACTGCAGTCAAATGTTTGGCCCCAGAATATCCCGTGTGTTACCTTTCGTGCACTGTGAGGGATGGGTGGAAATGTGCAGGACTGCTGTGAATGTGTGGGAAATGCTGTACCGAGACCGCGAACGTGTTTTGGGTGTACCGGGGTGTTCAAACGGGAAGAACCTGTGTGAACTACAGCTGAGTGTTTCCCCTGCCCTCCTCTGCAGGTGACGATGTTGGGTTTTTCAGGGACTCTGAAGTGGCAGAAGTCCCCAGGTAAAGGACTGCTCATAACTTTGCCCTACATGCTTCCATCTCCTCGACCTCCTCAGTCCGGCTGGGCTGTCAAGCTTGAGGGTGTGAAGTGACGGCTGCGGGATGAAAGCAGCAGTCTCCCCCGCCTTTCTTTTAAACTGAGTCTCAGAGGATTTTTCATTTGTTGTTGAATAAATTGGTTTTCTCTTAAGAGAATTTCTCTTCTAATCCCCTTTGTCTGCAAGTGATCGGTGTGTCAGTGGACCTTGTTTGGCAGCAAAGGGCTGACCTCTCCGCTCAGCGGTGCGAAGTTGGGACGTCCCTTGCAGTACTCTGCTGGGATGTGGCAGCCCGGGAGCCAAACATCTACCCTTGGAACGAGAAGGGTTTTGATGTAACGCTGGGTTTCTTGGCAGATGTTACTGCTTCGCTGCTGTGGTTATAGGTGATGGCGTTGGACAGACTCGGGGCTGGTGGGAGACTGAACAGAGTTAGCATGGGGCAGTTAAGAGGACCTGCTTCGGGGTGTCAGGCCAGGCCACGTGGCACCCAGGTATTGGTGCGTGAAGCTGGCAGGTGACGCAGCCGAGAGGACGCGTGTCTGCCAAGGGGGGGATGCACGCGTTAATGGTGAGAGGGTCTGGACTGTTGGAGCAGCTCACAGGAGGTGGAGCAGCGGGAGCTGTGTCCCTGTTCACGTCTGCGCAGCCAGCCCTGGTGAGCCAGGCTACGCGCGGCAGCAGGGTCCGCACCTCCCGGGCAGGAGCAGGCCCTGCCGCTGGCTTAATTACTCATCGAAATTAATTTTGGTAACCAAGGTGATACTCTTATATGTGGAATCATGAAGTCTTGCATGTGATGGGCATGTTCTAATGAAGACTGACCACAGTGCCATCACAGATTCCTGCATATGATGTACTTGCGTAAAAATAGGTACTTGATAAGACGCGTTGTATTACTTTGGTATGGATTGAAATAACTATGATCACATGCTTCCATCACGAAGAAATATAATGGAAGCTTGTTGTTTGAAGAGGTCTAGAAGAAATCAGCTATAGAAAATAATAATCTAATACAAATCCATTAACAGACTTTTATTTACATTCTGGTGGAGACAGCTGTAAGCAGAAGAGTTTTTGTTCCTACGTGAGTTCGGCAGGGAAGCCACCGTTCTGAATCGAACCTCTGACTTCTGCCCTTTCAGTGACATCAGGTTTCCTGCGTTGATGCTGAACAATATGTACTTGGGTGACGAAGCTCCTCCTCAGCCTGTGTTTCTGCAGCACGGTTGCCGCGAAGGCCCCCCGACGCCACGCACGGGCTTTATTTTGTTACCGTGCGACGTGGGGCAAGCAGCAGTTGCCAGAGCACTTGGAGTTTAGCGCGAGCTAGGCCCCAGGGCTGGCCCCCGTGCTGAGCTGGCGTTGCAGGAGCTGTTGCTCAACTGACAAATAACGATCCGTACTGGCGAATCTCTGAGGGCTTCAGAGAACTGGCACTGGCTGCCGGAGACCCGCTTACTCACAGGAGCATCACCCCGGCTCCGGTGACGACGCTGTTACGAACACGGGGAGGGAGGAGGAAGGGACAACAGAGTGGTGAACTCTTTGTCTCCCAACCCGATCACGCCGGTAACCTCTGGCGCGGGGAGGAGGCCCATCCAAAACAAACACGCCGTGTTTATTTAGCGGCACGAGCCAGCGGGAAAGCCACCGTATAAGTAAGCGGCTCCCGAGGGGCCGCGCAG